GTTGCTGAAGCTGTACCAGCGGTTGAAGTTGTCGTTGAAGCTGTTGCTGAAGCTGCCTCTACTCCACCAGCTGCTGAAGCAGCACCAGTCTCTGAAGCTACTCCAGCAGAACCTTCAATCAAAGAGACCCCTGAAGCCACAGCTGCTGAAACTGTTCCACCTGTTGAAGCTACCACTGAAGCCACTCCTACTGAGGCTCCTGTAGATGCTGCAATCGCTGAGGCCCCCGTAGAAGCTGCCCCTGCTGAGGCCCCCGTAGAAGCTGCAGCCGCTGAGGCCCCCGTAGAAGCTGCAGCCGCTGAAGCCCCCGTAGAAGCTGCAACTGCTGAGGCCCCCATAGAAGCTGCAACCGCTGAGGCCCCCGTTGAAGCGGCCCCTGTAGAAACTGCCGCTGCTGAGGCCCCTGTCGAAACTGCCCCTGCTGAAGCTGCAGCTGAAGCTTCCGCCCCTGCAGAGAGTGCCAAGGAGCTGGAGGACCCTGCTCCAGTCGTAGCTGAAGCCGTAGGAGAGGAGCAGCAGTTGGAGTCCCCAGCTGAACCAGTTGAACCATCTGAGGGTACACACTACAAGCACCCCCTCCCCCATAATCCTTCTCTTTTCCTCTGTGGACCCTGCAGTCTACCTGTCGTCATTTTCCTCACAGTTTATACAAGTATATGCAGTAGTGCAGTAGTTAGTGATGACTGTAAAGATAAAGTTTAAAGATACGTGCACTTTTTTGTTCCAGCCTCATGCTGCTTGTTCCTAACAGTCCTGTAGTTTTAGTTGCTGCATTTTAATCCATGATAGTTAAACACTACCTCATTCTGCCATACTCACCCTGCTCCTCTGAGGCCGGGTCATTTTCCATGCAGTTTACTTCATTTGGTTGTCCAATGCATTTGTGCTTCTTCTGCCATCTTTCATATGATGCATGTACTAATGTCACAGCATTTTAGCTTGAGGTTTTTGGCTTGCTTTTTTCCCCCCTTTTTTTGTTTTTCACTTAAAACAAATGTCAGCTAACCGCATGTATTTCTTTTGCTTTCTAGAATTTCTTTTATACCTTCCTGAATAAGTCAGTGTCTTTAGTTTGTCCCACCCTTACTAATTAGCGCTATTTTAGTCACAAATACAAGTGATTTCCTTGGTTTTATGATCCACAGTCACATTCCAAGGCTGCTTTCCTAAGATGGTCCAACACAACAGAATATAATCCTCTGCACTATTTCCTAGTGTTGTGATGTGGTTTAATGGGACTGTTTCTAATTTTGTATTGGTGAATGGTAAACAAAAAAGATAATGTTAAAGGTACCTTTCTCACTGGTGAAGGAGAATGTTAAGGTTCCAGCCATCACCTGTCATCTTGTGTTTTCCTTTTTTGTGTTTGTTTGGTTTTTTGGGGTTTTTTTTTAACCTCCGACCTCTTTTGTTCCTCCCTGCCTTACACTTCTTACGCATATTTTAGAGTCCCATCATAAATGTGATGTCAGTAGATGTTTGATACTATTAATTATGTTTATGGATAAAGTGTAAAAGGAAATTTTCCTTCCCCTTTCTTTCATGGTAAATGCACCTTGGTTGCTGTGTGTGGAGTAAAACTTGAAGATTTTAAATTGGTTCTTTGAACTTGCCTGTACAAGTGAGTGTGAGATTTGAATTTGGCTTCTTTGCAAGCAGACTGCGGGAAACCTTCATTTTACAATGCCAAGCAAGACTGTAAATGTGAAGTTTAGCATGACCTATCACAGCAACATTTTAATCTGTTAACTGACATGACCTTTCACACATTTTCCCCTTTTTGACCTCTGTATCTGGCTCCTGTCTACCACTCCCAGGTGCTGTTTCATGCATGAAGGTTTACTGTTAATCAATGATTTGTTTGTTGTCTTCAAGTGGGCAGATGATATTCAGTTACATGATCTTGGTACTATGTCGAATTTTTCTGTGAAGAGAAATAATTTTTCGTTTTCTCCCTGTGACTCTTAGCTCAAATGGACCCAATTCAGAAGCTCTTCCTGGACTCCATCCGTCAGTACTCCTCAAAAAGCCAGTAAGTGTCACTGCCTCTACAAAGCCAGTTAAGGTTCACCTATGTTTGTTTGTTAGCAGATTTTCTCAAAAACTTCATCAGGCTGTTGCTCTGACGCTTAGCATCAGACTAGCTTAGCTGTTGTTTAGAATTAATCCAGCTTAACCACAACGTGCAGAGATCCAAATGCAGCTTTGTGATAAACTCGGCCTGATTTGCTGTGTCAAAAACCAGCACAAATTAAACTGAACTCCAGCCAAACTGCAACAAAAAAAGAGGTTCTGAATGCCCAACACATGCTTTAAAAAAAAATTATTATTGTTGGTGTGCTGTTAGTGGTGTTTTTATGAGCTGCATTGTGACCTGCAACGGTTTACTGTTGTTTGCGTTTCCATATCATACAAGGCATCAACCACTTGGATTAATTACGCCGCAGGTGATGTTATGTGCATAATTAAATAATGACATTGTCCTTATTTTATTGACTTTATGATATCAAGTCAATAAATGACAATGATGATACATTTAGATCCACCAATGAATCACTTTAAATGAGAAACTATCGCACTGAAGAAGCTTCTTGGATGAGAGGGTAAACGTCCAGTCCAGTTGCCTTTTACTGAAGCACTGGTAATACCATGACCTGGACATCTCACTGCTGAGTTTTGTCTTGTCTGAAAACTACTGTTGGCAGAACATGTCTTAGCATTTGTGATAGTTAACTAGTTAATTACAGTATAGTGTATGTAGGATTAGATCAAACGACGTTGATAATAAAAACATCTTAAATGTGACTGAATTTGCGTTGACAATTCAAACAAGAGCTAATCAAGTCTGGGAGAAAATTAATTATTGTCCTGCTGATAGCTGGTCTTTGTCTTCCTCCTGTAGAGCTACTGGGGGGCTAGTTGATGCAGGTTCAGAGTATGAGAAGGCTTTGGCAGAGGAGATAGCCAAGCTTCAGAGACTTTATGGTGGTGGTGACCTGACATCTTTCCCTGAGTTCAAGTTCACAGGTAAGTCAAGTCAATCACCTATCAGTCAACAGCAGTGTGATGTGTGCAGTATACACCATTCAGCCACAACAACGAAGCCACTGACAGATAACGTGAATGACATTGATCTTCTCTTTACAATGCAATGTTGTGATGTTGTGCTGGGAAGCCTTGACTTCTGGCAAGCATGTGGATGTATCTTTGGCACGTACCACCCACCTAAACAACCCAGCACCCCTACATTGTACTCGCCTGTGGCAGAGGTCTACCCCAGCAGGACAATGCACCCTGCTACACTGCAACAACTGATCAGGAAAGGCTCGAAAAACACAGCAAAGAAATCCATGCCCCAAACTCCCCAGTTCTCATTTTGATCAGTGATCCACAGGATGCGATGGAACAGGCCTGAGCTGTTCCCAGGGTGCAAACCCACAGGACCCAAAGTGCCTGCGGCCACATTCTGGTGCCAGACACCACAGATACCTCAGAAGCCCTATGTACATGCTCCAAAAAGGCAGAATTTTGGCAGCACAGGGGGCCTACACAACCTACACACTATTTGGTGGGTGGTTTTAATGTTGTGGCTGTGGTGTGTACATCGTGTTCTAAGCACCTCCTGAGGCCTGTACTACAAAGCAGGATTTGAGGTTATCAAGGTAGCTTCAGGTTTGAATCTGGGTTTGGTAGTACAGCGATGGTTCACCTTTTACTGGGGTACATTACCTTGGTAACTTATGCTGAATGTTACAGATAAGAGATAAAGCTCTTCCTACTGACCAGTCAGATCTCTTGGAAAATGCCCTCAGCATTAGAAGATCCAGCAGAGCTTGTTGCACAGTGACTGAAAAAGGAAAGGTATGAGTATTTTTGTGTTTTAATGTTAACTCTTTGGTCAGACCATTTAACACCACCAGGGCTGCAACTGAAGCTATAAAACTGTTACACACCAGAAGAATATATCTAAGCAAAATATTTATTCTACTAGTGGTGTCCTAATAACTTTGTAGTGAAATCAATAAACCTGTTAACATTTGCACAGTCTGAGCTCTTTGCTGCTTTCCCTTGTGCTTCGACTGCTGCAGCTATCTTTTAGTCTGTATTATGTGTTTAAAATCATATTTCTCCAGTATTATAGTGTTGGATTAGATTAGATTAGATTAGATAGAACTTTATTGATCCCTTTGGTAGGGTACCTCAGGGAAGTTGTTTGCTCTTCCTTTGCAAATTATACCTCTCTAGTGCCAGAAGACCCATCCATGTTTGTGATTAGTTATTTGCCAACTCTGCCTCTTTCACGTTTATGTGCTCACATCCAGGTTCAGAAATTCTTGGCTGACATACTGAGTTAAAAACCAGCTTCATAATAAAGTTGGACTGTCTGACTATCCAGCTACTGTTGTTGGGTTAGGTGAAGACGGTAATGAAAAGATGCACTGGATATGTTAAACCTGCTTTGTAGTACAGGCCCCTGAACTATTTTTTATTTTTTTTATAGTGAATGGTGGAGTCTTTCATCTAAAGATCATAAAATGTTAACAGCAATACTTTGTGTGTCTTAGAGCCCAAGCTGGATGAAGTTTCTCAGAAGTGAACATCAGCACTTCAACTGAACTTTTCTCCTCTCGCCTTTTGACTGTACATCTGTGCTTGACTGTAAAACACGAACAGTCTGCATGATGTTAGATCAACAAACCCTTGCCTCCAGCCTTGTGTGTGAAGATACAACTGTTTCTGTATGTTCTATGGGACTACAGATAAAGCATTGGATGTACATTTTAGGCAGACAGAGTGAACTTAGAGCTGTGAACTATGTTTTGTGTAGAATGATCATGGCTGAGGTGAGTGTGAAGAAAACTAATAAATTCCAGGTCATGTTTGTTATATGTATGTCTCTTAACCTCTTTTCCTCAAAGCTATTTCAATTCACTGTATTTTGATCCAGTAAGGTGACAATGCAGGAATAGAAAGTAGATGGCAGAAAATACTCAGAATGTGTTTTTTTTTTTAGACTAAATAAGCACATTTTCAGATCTGACATCATGGTCAGTTAGGCTGATGAATGATGCTCTTCATCCACATCTTGTCTTATTAGATTCAGATTCAGACTTTCATTCATACAAATTACATCAAGGATGCACTGCAGAATGAAATGACGATGCAGGGTCAGCAATAAAACACACACAATCGTGAGCCCGTGCCGCCATGGTTCATGAGATGTCAAATTATTGACAGATGTCTAAATGAGCTTGCTCACTGTGCAACTCTTTGCACACAAATTATTCTGGACAGAAAACAGAACTTGAAATTGGAAAACTTTGGAGTGCAGAAAGACACATGCATAAATAACATTAAATCAAAGACATTAACGGAATATAATGAACTCAGTTAGTCCTTTTTAGTTTTTACACAGAATGTTGCCAATTCCAGTGTACCTCCGAGTTGCTTTGAAATATTTTGTCATACTGTAGATGATCCAAGTGAGTCATCTCCTGGTTTTTTTCTGCTTTTAATCATACTGTTCCAGTCTGTAAGCACCAGTAATGGCTGCCACGCATTCGACCATTAGAATGCGTTTCAGACTTAGGTATGTGTATTTGTGTGATCATTAGTAAGTATTTGATATTGGGTTGTAATTTACAGTATCGTAGAGTGTGCATTTTATGTAGGAAAGTTGTTCATAAATATATATAATAAAACTTGCGGTTGGGCACCTGGACTTGAGCTTGGAATTGACCAAAATGCCGAATGAGCACAGGAAAGTGGGGTTACTAAACTTATGGTAGTTTATAAGCAACCTCTGAGCTCCACCTCCACCAGCAACACAACTAACAAACACACTTTTTGAAGATCAGGATGTAACACTGCTTGTAATGGAGATTTAGTGTCCTAAACAATCCAGTGTGTGTATGTATTTACATTGTATTATTTTTATATATATATATACACACACACACACACACACACACACACACACACACACACACACACACACACGTGTAGTTGAAACCAGAAGTTTACATCCACGGTATAAAAACACATAAAGCCTTTTTTTCCCCTCAGTATCCAACCTTAAATCAGACTAAACTTTTCCTGTTTTAGGTCAGTCAGGTTTACCAACATTATTTATATTTGCTAAACGCCAGAACAATGAGAGAGATAATTTTTTTAGATTAATTTCCTTTTTCCTCCCTATGTTTCCTTAGTATCTGGTTGCGTTGCCTTTACACTATGACTTGGGTAAAACGTTTTGGGTTTCCTTCAACAAGCTACTCACAATATTTTGATGAATTCTGGCCCATTCCTCCTGACAGAACTGGTGGAACTGAGTCAAGTTTGTTGGTCTCCTTGTTCCACACACCTTTTCAGCTCTGCCCACTAATGTTCTCCAGGATGGAGATCAGGCCTTTGTGATGGCCACTCCACAGCACTGACTTTGTTGTCCTGAAGCCTCTCTGTAACTAATCTGGCGCTATGCTGAGGGTCATTGTCCATCTGAAGAGCTATTGGTGCCCAAGCTTTAATTTCCTGACTGATGTCTTGAGATGTTGCTTCAATATTTCCACATAATGTTCTTTCCTCATGATGCCATCTATTGTGTGAAGTGCACCAGTCCCTCCTGCAGCAAAATACCACCACAACATGATGCTGCCACCCCCGTGCTTCACAGTTAGGACATGTCTCCACAAATGAAGGTCTTTGTCCCTGTATGCATTTACAAACTGTAATCTGCTTTTTTATGTTTCTTCTGGAGTGATGTCTTCTTCCTCTCTGAGCAGCCTTTCAGCCCATGTCAGTACAGGACTGGTTTCACTGTGGATAATGACTCTCTGACCAGCTTCAGCAGCATCTTCACAAGGTGTTTAGCTTTTCTTCTGGGGTTGATACGCACATTTCTCACCAAAACACCAGAACCCGTCTCCTTCCTGAGTGCTATGATGGCTGGACATTCCCATGGTGTGTATACTTGATATAATTGTTTGAACAGATGAACGTGGAACCTTCAGCCATCTGGAAACTCTACCCAAGGATGAACCAGACTTGTGGATGTCTACAGTTCTCTTCCTGATATCTTGCCTGATGTCTTTAGATGTTCCATGTTGTCACAAAAGAAGCAGAGTGTTTGAGGTGTACCTTAAGATACATCCACAGGTGTGCCTCCAATTAACCCTGATGTTGTCAATTAACCTATCAAAAGCTTCCAAAGCCATGACATCATCATCTGGCCTTTCCCAAATAGTCTGAAGCCGTAGTAACCTTAGTGTTTGTAAACTTCTGACTTTGAAGGAAGTAATGAAAAAATTCTTTCATTATTCTGGCGTTTAGTGAATAGAAATAATGTTGGTAATCCTAACTGACCTAAAACAGGAGAAGTTCAGTCTGATTTAATGTCAGACAGTGAGAAAAAAAAGTTTCCTGTCTTTTTATACAGTAAACTCCTGGTTTCAACTGTATATAGTCTCACACACACACACACACACACACACACACACACACTGCAATGATCATTATTATAGTATTGCTGTTTATAGACCTGATTATGGGAGTACCTATAATACTTAGAATTAGGTATCCTGTTGCAAACAGTATTTATTTTAAGACAGTGGTGGAAAGCACTGAAGTAATGACCTAAAGTACAATGTGAAGTTATTTTCGCTTGAATATTTTTGTTTCATAATACTTCCATACATTGTGATACCAGATATTGTACTTTTTACTCCACGACATGTAAAACCCAGTGACATTACAGATTATGAACATGAGTGGAAAATACAAATCCATCCATTATCTATACTTGGACTTAGGGCGAAGGCAGGGGACACCCTGAACAGGTCACCAGTCTATCACAGGGCTACACTTAGAGACAGACAACCAAGCACACTCACATTCACACCTACGGGCAATTTAGAATCACCAATTAACCTCAACATGTTTTTGGACCTTGTGGGAGGAAGCTGGAGAACCTGGAGAGAACCCACGCTGCACGGGGAGAACATGAAAACTCCACGCAGAAAGATCCCGGTGCCCCCACCGGGACGCGAACTGGTGACCTTCTTGCTGCGAGGCAACAGTGCTACCAACTGTGCCACCTTGCAGCCCAAAATATAAATTAGGTGTGAGAAATGAACCTAACCCAGGAGCTGGAAGCAGATAGCAAACAAGAAAAACAAACACTTACACAAACACAGACATAATGTCACAATAAATCTGAAAGAATCTTTAACCCCTTTCAAAGATGCCCCTTTTCCTATTTCACTGATTGTACATCCTCGATGACTCGTCTTCGTCCCTCCCAGCAGAGACTCAAGTGGAGGAGGTGAGTTGATGCAAGGAAAGAGGAGTCAAGGCAGTAGGTTTATAACAAAAGGAGACACTTTTCCATCACCTGTCTGCTGTTTTATAATAACCTACCAGTGTTTTATGATCTCTGTCAGATGAGTAGAGCAGTGTTTATGATATACAGAACATATTTTCACCTGTAATTCATGTCACAACACAGCAGAATGGTAAATGGACTGCACTTACATAGCACTTTTCTACCTTAGCGGCACTCAAAGCCCCTTACAATGTTTTCTCATTGATACACCAATAGCCTGCCATTGGGAGCAATTTTGGGTTCAGTGTCTTGCCCAAGGACACTTTGACTGTGCAAGGAGTGGGGATCGAGCCGCCAACCATATGATCAGAGGACAACCTACCACCAGGTCTACCACCTGAGCCACAGCTGCCCATGAGAATGTGATGAGAATGTACAGATATCATACATGTTTTTTTTGTTTGTTTTTTTTGACATACAGGTGCAGTGTTAAGTATAAAATAGTAGTGGCACCTATAATAGTACTACACAAATAAAGTGTGACATATATTAATACTGAATATCATGTACAGGTATTTGTCAGTCCTGCTGCTGACATGGTTTGTATATTGTGTGTGTGTGTGTCAGGTGTGTGTCGCCTCTTTTATGTCACGGGTGTGGAAAAAAACTTTATGAAAAATACAGCGAGGATACACCGGTACTGTACATCTTCCCTCCAGAGCCTCCCCAAACTCGGTTCCAATTGTTCCAGTCTCTGACCAATCAGGACCCACTCTGATGTCCCGCCTTCCGTGTCACGGTGCTATCACGGAGCCGCATCTCTGTTGTTACGATTACCACGAGCGCTCGGCCAATCAGATGGCCTCATTTGTTCCAATTGAGAGAATCAAACTTTTGGCAACCCAGTGGCAGAGCCGGGTTTGTAACAGGGGAGACATTAAAGCCATTCCCCTTTGAACCAGTTAAACACAATAAAAATACAAGACAGGTAGAATTTCTTTTCATGCCATTGTTTGCCGTCTAGTTGTGTTTGCTCGTCTGTCAAGTCATTTTTATTTGTATAGCACAGTTTACAACATATGCCATCTCACAGTGTTTAACGTAGTAAGGTATAGGCCTGTTCCAGTATAAAGATCCATATAAAGCTGTTGGAACATTCTGGTGTCTAAAACCAGCTGGTGTTGGTCTTTCAGCTGCTGTAGACATGAGTTACAGTGTCAGAGGCCGGAGCTGGAGCAGAGACGAGCTCAGGACGTACCTTTATAGACACTCATTTATTTATTTAGACACAGTTTGATATTTGATTCTTGTCTGACAATGTCATTCATTCTTCTGGGCCTCAGAACAAAATAAAACTTTGCAGATTTATTGTTTCTGTTTGTTTATTTGTGTCACACAGATGACATCTAAACTACACAACATGTGAGAGCAGCCCTGCTCAGTAAAACACAGCAGGTTCACACAGCTTCAGGGTTCAAAGGTCAAACTGACCCCACATTAAAACGGTCCTGCACACATTAATTAATCTGTTTAATAAGTGAGAAGGAAGAGAGATCGTATGAATATGAAAGTGAAATTCCTGACATAGAGTATGTATGACACTGAACTTATTTATGTTCAGTCAATCTGCACCTTAAATTATTTATTGTTGATCCAACTGCCCTATGTTCCTTAAATTGCCCCCAGGAGACTGAAGCTGAACACACCTTAATGCGGAGGCTGAATGTGACCTCACACATAGCACTAGTATAAGGTAAAATGAAGGACCGTGTCAAATCTGTCGTGCTTTGACATTTAACAAAGTGGAAACCCTGTAAAGGACTAGGTCCTGGTTTATCTGTGTCCTTGTGGAACCGTTGTCGTTAACCCCCACCCACCTGTTTCCACCCGGAACATAGCACTGGGAACACGAAATGGCGGCCTCCATGTTACACTTAGGACGACTGGGTTCTCTCAAGGTAATAACACCTGAACTGACTACTTGACGTTTTAAATGTGTCTTGCTCGGACATCGTGCCTCCATAAGTATCAGAACACCGGCTAGTCCATGTAGCCGAGAGGAGCTACTGCGTGTTGTTCCTGCTAACCGGACAAAAGCCACCGTGTTCGTCGGTTCGTTTAACTGCTGTTGTTTCTGTTGTTGACACTCTTAAGATCTGCACTTTACAAAGAGTTTCAACGGTGGAGGCTGACTGCAGCTCCACACACGACCCTGTTCAGTCACCTGGGCGAAGGGACTCACCCGAACAGACTCGTACCTCTCAGTGCTTTTCCGTAGTTTCAGTTATTCTATATTTGCATTCTTCCTGTTCCAGTTCGTTTGACATGATTAGCACCCAGCAGTGAGTAATCCTATTTTCAAGGACAATTGCACATAAATATAGTAACCTGTCACAAATATTCGCTGTCGCTAATCCAGAAAATTAAATAATTTTATTTACTTTGTTTACTTTAAATACTTTATTTCAAATATCATTTGAAAGTTGAACGGCCACAAAGTAGTTATTTTTGTGCATCGTTCAAAATAGCCCGTACACCTATAATAAAGCCCCTATAACGAGTGCGTTCATGGTTGTGTGGACGTTGTATCGTCTTTCATTGACTCGATCAAAGGAAAAATTGACCGGATATAGTTCGGTGTTTCACTGACCACACGTTGAGCTGTGACTGGCTGTCTGTGGTCACTACACACACCCGCAGCACGTTGTGTAGTGGCATGTTTCTGGCATTTCAGATTTAATCAAATGAATCACAATAAGCACTGGTAGCAGATACAGTACTGATGCAATATCCTGAAAAGATTGCTTTCTGTAATTTAATTCTAAACTAGGCTAGGCTAAACTTTAATATGTTCTATATTGATTACATGTAAAATGAAACATTTTAAGTCTTTTATTTTTAATTTTGATGACTATGGCTTATAACTCATGGAAATCAGAAATTCATATCTCAAATTATAAGAATATTTCTTAAAATATGAAATAAAAACATAGGATTTACAATACAGAAATGTCCAACTTCTAAAAAAAAGTGTGTATGTATACTCTCACTATGTGGTTGGGGCTCCTTTACCATGAACTGCTGCATCAATGCAGAGTGGCATGGAGACAATCAGTCCGTGGCCCTGCTGAGGCCCAGGTTGCTTCAATAGTAGCCTTCAGCTTGTCTGTATTTTAGGGTCAGGTGTTTCCCATCTTTCTCTTGACAAAGCCCCATGTGGGGTTCTGTAGGGTTCAGGTCATGGGTTCATAAAGCCTGTTGGCTGGTAGAAGCAGGAAGTGCTGTAAAATCTCCTGGTAGATGCTGTGTTGACTATGGACTTGTTCAAACACAGTGGGCCAACACTACCAGAAGACATGGTACCCCAAATCATCACAGACTGTGGAAACTTCACCCTGGACTTTGTGCCTCTTCATTCTTCCTCCAGACTCCATGATCTTGATTTCCAAATGAAATGCAAAATCATTTTTTAAATCTAAATAAAGGACTTTGGACCACTATGAAAAAATCCAGTTCTTTTTTTCTCCTTAGCCCAAATAAGACACTTCTGGTGTGAGTGACTTGATATTAGAAATAAAACATTTGCAGCTCCTTTCCTGAAGTTGTCTGTGCTTGGTGGCTCTTCATGCACCGATACCAGCCTCAGTTTTTGTGAAGCTCTCCCAAGTTCTTAAATCAACCTTTCTTGACAATCCTCTCAAGGCTGCAGTCATCCCTGTTGCTTCTGCACCTTTTCCTACCACACCTTTTTCCTTCCAGTCAACTTTTCATTAATATGCTTCGAGATCTGCTAACAGCCATTCTTTTCAGCAGTGACCCTCTGTGGCCTACTCTCCTTGTACTGTTTGAATAGTAATTCACGCAACCTCAAAATTATTTATTCCATTATTTTGAGGTCCTGAATTTCTGATTTACATAACCTCGAAATCATAATCCTAAAAAATTCAGCAAACAAGAATTTACTTCACTTTGGGCGGCTGTGGCTCAGGTGGTGGAGCGGTTGTCCGCTGATTGTAAGGTTGGCGGTTCGATCCCCCCCCCCCAAAGTGTCCTTGGGCAAGACATTGAACCTGAGGTTGCTCCCAATGGCAGACAGCACCTCGCATGGCAGCTCGGTCACCATTGGTGTACGAATATGTGTGAATGAGTAAAGCGCTTTGAATACCACTAAGGTAGAAAAGTGCTATATAAGTGCAGTCCATTTACTTTAGATGTCCTGAGTCTAAATTTTCACTGTCTTCAATAACTGACTCTTGCTTTCCACTGACGATGCTGTGAACACTGATAGTAGTAAATAAAAAATCTATATGATACAATAACATTAGATCCGTAAATATCTGGGATGTCATGGCAACATGGTCCTAGAAAATAAGTTATTCATGCAATCACACATACTATCTACAATTTCAAGATATTTGTGTAGTTGTGAAAAGTCATCCAGCAGGAAAACAGACTTTTTAAAAAAAAAGTTTTGTAATGCTTATTAAGCAACAGTATTGTTAATTAGTATTTTGCTATTTTTCCTCAGTTTTTTTTTTTTTGGAGCTTGGTTGCTGAAATGTGGACTGCATGTTTGGTGCTACACTCATGCCAAAAGCTGTCTTTGCTCTTCTGCAGTGTCTCCGGTTTAAAAGCTGGGGTTTCTTGAGCAGTCGCCCAGCTGCTTTGTTCTGCACTCATGTTGAAGAACCGCCAAAACCAGCAAAAAAGGCGAAGGCTGCAGGCAAAAGTAAGGCCATTTGATTGTGTTCACTGCATAAAGTTTGAAGTTTTAGGGTTTTGCTGGCTGGTTGCATTTTTGTGTTACCAAAGTGCTACACACCATATGTGTATACATATTTTGGGTTATATTATGTTGACTTTAGAGCTTAACATGTAACTTTTTCTTTACAGTGCAGGAAATGTGCAGGCGCATCTAAAATATTGTCTCTCTTCCAGTCATCCGTTTCATCCAATATGATTCAGTGATAAATGAAGCTGCTTATAAAGTTAGGTTTTTACACTCAGTGGTGTTTAAGGACTTAAAGAGTCGCCCCTGCAGAACCCCTGTATACATACTATGACAGTACAAACCAGGTTAACATTGAAACCAGTGTAAAGTAAATTTGGAGGTTTGTTTCTAAACACATGATAGCACTTCAGAAAATAGTTGCTGCAAGCATGTGAAAAGCCTGTGAAGAACACTGATCAGCCACAACATTAAACCAGTAGGCTAATATTGTGTAGATGGCTGATGCTGCTTAAACAGCATTGAGCCATTTAGACCTGGGGACTCATTTATCATCAGTGCATAGAAAAGGTTCTAAGTTCTGTCTTACGAATGAAATTTAGAATGTGCGTAAGTGCAAAAAAAATCAGTCTTTATCCAACATGCATACGTGGGTCATACACACATCAGTAAGTCATCAGTGTTGGTAAATCCCACTTGTTCTTAACCACCATGCCCATGCACTTTCGGGATCATCTGCCTTCGGAAACGGCTCCAATCAACCATATATGGCAACAACACGCCTCTTTATAAAGCAAGTGAATATTGGTGATGTCTGTAAGGGAACTGGATGTAGGCTGGGGCCAGAGGAGTTATGGCATCAACACTGCTAGCATGATCCTGCTCAGTGATGGCTGGAAAATGCTGCACATGTCTCTGACCTGACGCTGGAATGTGTCAAAATCCCTGAATGCTTTCTATTTGTAGTTTCACTATTCTACCGCTAGGTTATGTGCGTGAGCATGATCAGAGTTGTGTGTATATTTATGCACATTCCTAAGTATAAGTACAAGTTGATAAATTCCATACTTTGTGTGGGAATGTTCGTACACACTCACTAAGCACACATCTGATGATAAATGAGGTCCCTGGACTCCAAAGATCTCTGAAAGAGTCCTGTTTTGTTCCAAGATGTGAGTTTCAGATCCTATAAGTCCTTGAAGTTGTGAGGTCAGGCCTCAATGGATCCGACTTGTTTTTCCAAAACATCCTACACATGCTCAGTTAGATTGGTATCTGGGATTTTAGAGGCCAAGCCATCACCTCAAACTCTTTGTCAGATTCCTCAAACCATTCCTGAACAAATTTTGTGGTGTAGCAGGAAGCATTGTCCTTATAAAAGAGGCCACTGCCATCAGGGAATACTGCTGCCATGAAGGGGTGTACATTAGATAGGTACTACATGTGTAGTAACATCCACATGAATGCAGGAACCAAGATTTCCCTGCATAACATTATCCAGAGCATCACACTGGCCCTGTTGGCTTCCCTTGTTCCTGTAGTTCATCCTGCTGCCATCTCTTGTCAGGTAAATGACACACACGCACCTGGATATCCACATTACAAGAAAGAAAGTGTTATTCATGAGACCAGACCACCTTCTTCCATTGCACTGTGGTCCAGTTCTGTTGTCACATAGCATTTGTTAGCTCTTTCAGTGGTGGACAGGGGTCAGCATGGACTCTCATACCAGTCTACAGCTTTGGAGCCCCACACACCAAGCTGATGCACTTTTGTTGCGACTCCTTTTAGCAATATCAGTATTGAGGCTTAAGCAGTTTTGGGCTTGTTTTTTTTGACACAGACTAGCCTTTGCTCTCCACATAAATCAGTAAGCCTTTACTGGCCATGATCCGGTTCAATTCAATTCAATTCAATTTTATTTATATAGCGCATATTTACAACGACAAGTCATCTCATAGCGCTTAACAAAGGCAGAAACACCCAAGAATCCCAAACATTTGGATTCCCCATAAGCTTCAGCAGTCCGCTGATTCACTAGTTATCTTTCTTTAGAGCACTGTTATAGTGAGAACTAACCACTGCATACTGGGAACACCCCACAAGACCTGCTGTTTGGGAGTTGTCTGACCCAGTCCTCTGCCATCCCCATTTGGTCCCTGTCAGAGTCATTGAGACCCTTACACTGATCATTTTCTCTGCTTCCAACACATACATTTCAAGAATTAAAGACTTGCTGCCTGATATAACCCACCCAGTCACAGGTGCCATTGTAATAAGAAGATCAAAGTTATTCACTTGACCTGTTACTGGTTTTAATGTTGTGGCTTAGCAGTGTACGATACTGAAATTTTAAAATTTTTCATTATGATTTTTGGATTGGGTCAGAATTCCTGAGTCAATGATGCACTGGAGCCAAACATTTCATGACCCATCCACCAAACTATAATGGTATTAAATTAGGGCCAACTAGGGTGGCTCTCACACTTGATTGGGAGTTACCACACCTACTACTCCCCACATTTTGCTAGCTAGAAATGCCTTTGTCCAGCAAGTGCAGCTTCCTGGATGTCAGAATTTGCAGAACAGCCAAGTGTCCTCTAACTTAATTAAGAAGGATGAGATGATGAAGAGGTGGATTGGTTTCCTTAAAGAGCCACAATGAAAAGAGAGCTGAGGATCACTGCTCGTGTATACGCTGTTAGTCACGTCTTGAGTAAACATGCCACCAGCATTTCCGTACAAAGAATTCTGCACTTCTTACAGCTATGAAATCAAATTTTCTAAATTTGGTGATTTTTAATTTTTTTTCTTAGATTTTTACTGATGGTTACAAGTACATGTTTTGTGTTGTGACAAAGTAAGAACACATTTTTACTGCTTTGCATGGACTTAAAGTTTCTGTATTTGGAAATTAAATATTATGCTTCTATTCTGTACATTTTTAAAAGAAAATTTGTGGAAAGCAAGATAAGCTTTTGACTGAAAACTTGTTTTTTAACTGCCCATGTCCATTTACCATTTTACTCAACAGCAGAAGCTCCAGATGAGAGAACAACTCTGCTAAACTACAAGACCACAGTTGCCTTCCCAATTAGAATTTTAGAGCCTGGAGTTTTTCCACCACAGTCTCTAGGTGTAACTGGACCAGTGGTTGGCTCCACTGCCGCTGCAGGAACACATGTAGCTGCAGCAGTTGCAGACATTGGCAGGGAACCGGGTGTACCTGAGCCAGATGTGGCAGAGGCTGCAGCTGCCTCATCAGATCCAGCTCCTGACCCAGATGTTGCTCCAGTGATTCCTGACATAGCTCCACCTTCAGTTGAAACAGCTCCTTTAGCAGCTAAACCCCTGGTTGAGACAAGCGGTAAAAGCTCAGCACCAGATTCCACAGCCTTGCCTGATGCTGGTGACGCAGCAGCAAACGGGTCGTCCTCCTCCTCGTCTGGGGACTCTGACTCTGATTCTGATTCTGATTCTGATTCTGACTCTGACTCTGACTCTGAGGGTGAGAGGTCAGAAGTGAAGGCTGACACCAGGATCTCTCCACCAGAGATGTCAGAATCCACTGTGAAAGAAGGGGCAGAAGTGACAGAAGACTCCAAAGAAGCTCAGAGGGAACCTGAAGCTATACAAGAGGCAGATGCACACTCAGAAGCAGTTCAAAGTACCAGGGAGGTAGCCACTGTTAGTTCTGAGGAGTTAATTGACTCAGCCCCTGACATCTGCGCTTCTACAGAAGATGCTCAAGAGGTGGGCAGTCCAGAGGCTTCAGCTGAGTTTGCAGTGGAAGTTTCTCCAGAAGTGATAAAAGATGATGCATCTCCTGCTGCGTCTGATGCTGAAGTACAAACTCCAGCTGAAGTTGTGACCAAGGCTACGCCTCCAGAAAATGCCCAGACTGACAGTCCCATCGAAACAACAGAACCTGCCTCTGCTGAAGCGGCTACAAAAGCTGGAGACAAGCTTGTAGAAGCTGCAGCTGCCCCTGTAGAATCCCTCATAGATGCTGCTGAGTCTCACACAGAAGCTGTTGAAGCTGCCGCAGATGCTGTTGAAGCCCTTGCAGGAGATTCCCACATAGAAGCTGAACCAGAGCTTCTAGAAGCTAAACCCGGTCCCACTGAAGACGCTGCTAAGGCTGCAGCTGAAGTTTCTGCCCTTGCAGAGAGTGCTGAGGAACTGGTGGACCCTGCTCCAGCCGTAGTTGAAGCTGCTGGAGAGGAGCTGCAGGCGGAGGCCCCAGCTGAACAGTCTGAGGGTACACACAACCCCCCCGTTCTTTACCTTTCCCTGTCTTCTTTGTGGATCTTTGAGCCCCCACAGATGATCATACTTCTCTCTCTCTATCCCTTAGAACATGTTCTGTTTGTACTATTGAAGTGTTAACCAGGCATCGACTCCCTCACATATAGTAGTTGCTTTTGGGTTTGTGGCTTTTATAATATATACATGAATTCTCTTTAATAGTCATATTTATGTTTTTTTTCATCACTGCAACATCTAACCTCCCATAACCTTGGTTTTCAGTTTCGTTGTTTTGCATGACATAAATGTAGAATACATGTTTAGCCATGCTTGTAGTTTTTTTTTTTTTTTTAATGCATTCCTTTTTCTTTCGCATTTTCTGCATTGTACTTGTTTTTTAGCATTGCATTTGCTTGCACCCTGTTATTGACTCACTGGAACAGCTACAGTCTGCTATTCAAGGTGTATGATCATGGTGATACTGCTAGTTGCATACATGACACTAATCCTGCTCACGTTTCGGCTTTCTATTCTTCCTTTTGCGACTCAGGAACCTACCACCAATGTCTGTTTCTTTTAAACAATCTCTCTAGCTTCACCACTGCTTGTAGTTTCCAGATCCATCTTCACTCCCAGAGTATTTCACTTGTGTTTTTCTTATGTTGGCTCATCTTTGGTGTACTCTGTGTGTATGAAATGTGGGTCCAGTTGTTGAAGTTAATGTTAATGTTACAGGTAACAATGGCACTGTTTGGTTTTTGCTGTTCCAGGTAAAGCTATTGCTAACAGTAATGTGTCCCTGACAGCAGCTGGACGAGCAGAAACTGGGAGTGGTTGGAGTCAGTGGAAGTATTTCAGGAAACAGAATTACAGATGTTTTAGAAACCCGTTAGGGCTCAGATCCTTAACATTCCAATAACTACAGCCATTTGTTAAAGTTTTCTGTCCAACACTGTCCTGACCATCTGGGTAATCCTGCTTCCTGAAGTATAACCCCCTCTTCACCTTGGTCATTAATTTTACCACTTGTCTGTTTCTTTTTTAACCTTGTAAATTTGTTCTTTACCTGGAAACCTATGGGATAAGCACGGCATTAACTACTGAAATAATGTGAATGTCTTGAAATGTGTTTTTCTGTGATTATCAATGTGAGGTTGTTTTCTGATGCCCTGTCAAAGCATGCTAACTGGTTTTCCACATAAATTTTGATCTTAAAGTAAATTGGTATTTAAAGAACATTTTGCAGAGTATCAAAGCCCATGTTTCCAATACACTATGATTTTGATGCCTTTTTTAAAATCCATTTCATGCGTATCTGCCAGTATTATTTCTGTATATTGGCTGTCTTTACTGTTGGCAAGCCAGTTTACCTTCACATTCTTTCCTCTCACAAACATGATCCTTAGGGCATTTCACACCCGTGTGCCTCCGCACTCTGTTGGGGGTAACTTGACTTGCTACCATAGGAAATGTCCCACCATAAACCACCTTTTGTTAGAACGTGTGAATATGTAAATGTGCTGTCCCCTCAAAAATCTTTTGAAATATTTACAAAACTAGCCACAAGTCCTAATAACAGCCTTTGCTGCCTAAAGATCAGTAATGTTGACAACACAGGACTACACCCAGTGTTGCAGTTGTCTTAGCTTTTGTTTTTTTTTCTTGTTGTTTTCATGCATGCACAGCAGTAAGATTTTTAATAGTCATTTTTGCACCAACTGTGTTTTCTTACATGCCTTTTTGCTTCTTCCCCTCCTTCTGCAGAGGCTACAACAGCGGCACCTCTAGAGCCTGAGGAGCCTTTTGACAACAGCACTTACAAAAACTACCAGCACCACAGCTACACCCCCTTCACATTTGCTGACCTGGATGTAGAGATGGCCAAGTTCCGTCTCCCTCAGCCCTCCTCTGGCAGACCCTCACCCAGACACTAGAAGAGCTGACCTGGCTGAAAATAATTGCTTAAAGATCATGGTGATATTGCCCTTTATGTATGATCATCCCCCTGCATGCCAGATCTGCATTAATTTCTGCCGTTGAAAATGTCATATTATTAAAGTACCAGAAGAGAAATGAAGCCTGTTTTGCCTGATGTGATTCTGTTTTGTCTTACATAAAGGGATGGGCAAAATCAAACACTTCTTTAATGCTGCTTTTTTGCCTTGGGGGGTCATTTGAATAAAGCTGAGTGCGCAAGTGGTTTATCTGTGTTTCTATTTTAATGGTTACAGTTTTTACTCCCTCAGCTTGCCTGTTTGCGCGTAATGCCCTAATTATCCTGGCTATGCTCATTCTGTAAGGAATCAGCATCTGATCAGCATCTGTCCTGTTTCTGTGCAGATGCTGAAAATATATGTATCAAGAGGGTAAAGCTGTAGATATAAGTTGAGAATGTGTGGAAATTAGGCCAGTGAATAGCGTTTCCCAAGCAAAAAAAACCAGCAGGGCGCAAAAGGACTCTCAGACAGTAGGACGTCATGTCTCCGCCCACCTCATACATATTCATGAACCGAGCGCCCCTGCGTGCCCTTGCGCGATGACGCAACGCGACAACTGCGGGTCCCGATTGCTGCAGCCGCTTGTCAGTGTGACGAAGATTGGCACTCAGGTAAGCTGTCACTCAAAATCCCTCTTTTTCCGTTCCCTATCAATCAAACAATCTGGGCCGCACGCAAAAATGCCCCGGGGCGAGGAGCACGGACCTAGTCGGGGCAGCGGAGGGTGTTTGAGGAAGGGTGGTAGAAGCGGCAGAGCTGCGGGAAAAATAAAAAAAAAACTGTATACAAGGGAGGGGGGTAAAAAATATGTCGCCGTTTTGGGGGCAGAGGAGGATTGTGGAAAAGCAAAGGGCGAGAGCTAGAAACGAGGCCCGACAGCTGTAACGTTAGCGTGGAGGGGAGGGGAAGGAGAGGGCAGCTGTCTCCGCATGAGTGATTGACTGATGGGGGAAGGATTTGAGGATCAACCGGGCTAGCTTGGTGTGCAGCCTGTGCTTCTTAGTATTGTTGCAGTCGAATTGCTGTACACAGCTGACAAAAAATACATATTAATTTATAATGTTCATTGATAAACACTGAAGCGACCGAAGCTGTCCTGTTTCGACAAAAGCTTCTTTCGTATCAATTCGCAGCAGGGTCTTTTTTTTTTTTTTTGGTACCTGGCTAGCTAGGTTAGCTTGTTTTTTTGGCAGTGATTCCCCTCGCTAATATGGCGCTTTGCATTTTGGCTGTACCGTACCAGCACGAAAAACACTTTTAAGTTACCAGTTAGCTAGCCGCTAACGTTAGCTCGGCCAGACGGTTGCTTTAGGTTAACCACAGATTGGGTCCGTGAGCAAACGCTAAATATATAAAGATAGCTGAATATCGAGGTAAAGAAAGGTTTGTTTTAGCCGAGGAACTTAGTTTACGAATAATTCTGTCCCGTTTGCAGGATATTTGGCCAATGTTAACCAAAAAGATTTGTTAAACTTTTATCTTCTCTTGCCGCCTCGAACCGTGTGTGCAGCTAACACAGGCTAAGAAGCTATGTCGTGGTGGGTGTGTTAACAGCAGTGGCAGGGTAACGCTAACATAAGCTCACAATTATTAATACAACACACTTCAGCTTCTCAATATCAGTCTCCTTTTAGGAGTGGCCCAGATCAGCTATATGGAAATGGTTGAGTAAACCCTGACCAAGTAACTCTTGTCCGTGTTCTGTCTGAGGGTCCCACCACATCACCTTGTTTGGCCCAGACGTGTATGCATTTTTCGGCATGCAACTATTAAGACTTCCAATATACATTTCTATTGGTGTCTTCCTCTTGCTGTGATGTTGTTTGTTAGTAAATATTTGTTAATAACAATGTTGACTTATAACTTTAATCCCCATCTAACAGAGTTTTGAACAATTTGAAAATAAGCTTATTCTGTCTAATTTAATCATACCGGCTCAGTAAACAAAGCTAATAACGTCAATAGCCTTTGATTCTCACATCAGAACAGTCATATTATTTAAAGGTCTTGTGCCTGCAGGCAGTCTAACTGAAACTATGTGCACTGTGTAGGTTGGCCACCTATCCCTTCTCTCTATAATGCCCCAGTGTTTGCAGCATCTGCAGTGAACGTGATGGCAGCCCAGTCGGTTTCCATAGACAAGTACCCAAAGGGCGAGCAGCAGGTGGGTGACAGGGAGAACTTTTGGTTTTGGAGATGGAGGCCTTCACAACCTGCTCCTGAACTAGCTAAACTGCACTTTTTACTTTTTTCTTTTATGTTACGTAGAAAGGATAGTGTTTGTAGTCATGACAAGTCAGCCTGGATTTCCACACCAAGGGAGACATGTTCTCAATGTAACACTAGAGCACAAACAACATTAATGCTATTACTTCAGTTTGAGTAATGTGTTGGCAGCTAGTTTGTCTGTCTGTGGCAGACCACCACAAAAATAATTACTGTATGATAGATATCAGTGATATATTATAAATCCTTATTTGTTCCCCTAGGATTTCCATATTTGTGCTTATGTAAAGTGTTTACAAAATATCTTTTACACAAGTGCCAAATTTGGGGGTGTTGAGACCTGAGAGCAATCTGTGACTAATGACGAATTTTCCACCCCAAGCAACTCATTATTTTTAGCCTGTTTATGCTCAATCTCAGTCATTGTAGGTCTCTGTCACATGATTGTGGATGGGATTTATGCTGATAGGGATTCTATGTTCTTGGTAGGAGGCATGGTGTGGAAATGTGTCAAAGAAAAGGAGGTGAAACTCGGCTCCTCAGTAGTGAATTTGCCTCTAGTGGAGCTTTGCAGAAACTACGGCCACATTTTAATGTGTCGAGTTATTTGTATCAGGTGAAGGCATAGGTTAGGGATTACTTACTCATATGCAATCAGGTTATAAGATCAGATATAGCAGTGTTTAGGTCCTCCCTGAGATTGTAACTTAGCACTTTCTGGTTGCAGTCTAGTCACCACATGCCCATAAAGCTGTGTCAAGAGACTGGAGGGTATGAGAGAATTCAGATGCAGATTTCAGTGAAAGTCTCCACCAGAGATGCATAACAGTCATTTTTGAGTGAAAAGTGCAACACCCTTTAGTGCCAGCACACTAATAAACTTTCTCACAAACGAGGGAGCTTATGACACTATCTTTACCTTGTTGTTGATCACAGTAAACAAGTTTTCATTCTGTAATTGAGTGCAATATAAAAAAAAGAAGCACAGTTTTTCAAAGTTGTTATTTAACTGTATCCTCATGACTTTGCAAAGAGTTCATATTGAAACGAGGTACAGTATTAAGCTTTGCCTTCCAGCTACACTTGGTCTTCACATGATTTCTTTGTCTCTCTCATTCTCCGCCTTTCTCTTCACCTCTCCCGTCAGTTTCTGTTTCTTTTTCCATCTTTCGATTGCTTTCTTTTCTCACGTGCGTTTTCCCTCTCCCTGCAGATGCAAGGCGTAGTAAAAGTAGACAGCGATTCGGAGCAGAAGTTTATTGAGGAGACATTGGCAGAGGTGCCCAGCCCGGCACCCACAGAGCCACAGACACCCATGGACGCGGACAAAGCATCCATATATCGGTAGAGATACTTCTGTGTGTTTGTTTTACGTAGAAACAGGAGAACAGACAGAGGCCTTGTTGTCCTCATTTAAAACACCCCTCTACTCCATCTGTCTTGTTCTCTGGGTAGAAAACTAAACTGTGACTCGGAAACATCACATGATATCTATGAAGTCCTACCCTCTATTCATGTGACTTCCATATTACTCTTTGGCATTTGGAATGGTGGCAGGCTATGTTAACAACTGCTGCTTGTTTATTTACTTTTTGTTGTTGTCTGAACTCATGTAAATTTTTGTAGGATTTTAAACTTTTGGTCTTGCATGTAGCTGTATGACCCTAGTGAAGATTAAGTGTTGTATAGATAATGGATGGATGGATCTAGCTGTACGACACGATTATTATATTTTCTCTTTGAGTCTTCATCTTGAGGCTCATTTACTGGAGAAGTTGTATAACAAGGCCAGAAGTCAGGGTGCAGTTCAGCAACTTGTCCTATATTGTGTGTGTGTGATTCACAGGCATCCCCTGTTCCCTCTGTTGGCCCTGCTGTTTGAGAAGTGTGAACAGTCCACCCTGAGTTCTGAATGCATCACCTCAGCAAGCTTTGATGTGGACATTGAGAACTTTGTCCGCAATCAGGAGAAGGAGGGGAAACCTTTCTTCAGTGAGGACCCTGAACTCGACAACCTGGTGAGACATCGCTGCATGTGAGGTCTAAAATTTGTCAAATTTATAGTTGTTGTTTTGCTTTTATGCCTCCCTCAAACACCAAAATTATTCGTCCAGTGAACTACAAATTGAGTTTGCACTTCGATGATAGTCTGCAGCATATATGGAATTGTTCAGACAGAACAGAGCAGCTTCCTATAGCAAGCACTGGGTGCTGGAGAAGTTGCAGGGAAGTTGGAAAAAGACAGACACACATGTTTTGGCCCACAGCTCCATCTAGACACATGCAACACTAAGTTTGATGCTGGTTTTAAAGTACTTGAATCTGACCTTGTTTACAGAGTCAGGTTTCTCTGGTGGTAATTTAAAAACCTAACTTCAGTGTCTGTTGGACCCTCAGCTCCTACTTATATCTGGGTAATATTTACTTGTAGAGCTAATAAGCAAATGACAAAAAAAATGTTTTAGTTTTAAGGTATGACACAAGTCCAACACAATACAGAGCCCCCAACTTACACACATATTCCTTTGTCTGTAACCTTTGACCTCAGCAGCATGGTGACATGCTGTCCTGCTAAATGGTTTTGCCTTCCATTCGAATAGATTACCTTGTCAAAATGATTAAACCACATTTTGTGTCATTGTACTGGCAAATTTGACCTTGTGTTTTAATGTCGGTAGCTTAGTACAACATAGGACACTGCGTAAACTAACTGATATTTGAGGGCTCAAGTGTCCCTCACCTGCCCAAGATTGACACAACTTAGTCTAGAGTTCACAAGGTCTTCACCTTACCATGTTAAGTGCTGTGAGATGACATGTTGTGAACTGCGCTATACAAATAAAATTGAATTGAATTGAAAAATTGAGTAGATATGTTTCAGCCTTTAGTATATTTATGTTTGGTGTTTTAGCTTTTGCTCTTGATGGTCAAATCACTATCTAATCCATCCGCTATATGCTCAGTCATCAGACTTATAAGAGGGAAAATGGATGCACATTTAGCTTGTGAAAGACTGCTATGGTACACTGCCATGAACCCTCTCTGGGGTTTTTTTTTTCTCTAGATGGTGAAAGCCATCCAGGTGCTGCGGATCCACCTGCTGGAGCTGGAGAAGGTGAGTGATCTGTGTAAGGACTTCTGCAGTCGCTACATCGCCTGCCTCAAGACTAAAATGAACAGTGAGACCCTTCTGAGCGGGGAGCCGGGAAGCCCATATTCCCCTGTACAAGGCCAGGCCCAAAGCTTTTCACCCACCAAGACCCAGGTATGCAATAGTAAACTGTAGGCATCATCACTAAACAAATGTAGATGATGTATCAGGTACCATAAATAGCTGTCCATGCTGATATATGTTAGCAGACTAAATCTGCTTTTAGAGAAAGGTTACAAAACACATGAACATGAAAAACTCACACATATGACTCAGGCCCATTGTGTATGCATGCTCTGTTACGCAGACCCCCAGCTCAATCTCAGGGACCATCAGTCCCCAGGGTCAAATTGTAGTGCCAGCATCAGCCCTGCAGCAAGGAAACGTTACCGTGACAGCTGTCAACCCCACCCAGGTGGTCGCAGGTATGTCACCATGGCATACAACTCCGCCCTCAGGTACTGTACTGTCGTGACTGCAGCTGAGATATTGTCATGCCCCAGTGAGAAACTTTGATCTCATCTTTGCAGCCAGCACTCTACAGCTCTGCAGTTTATAATAATCTGAATGCATGTACATGTGTTGATTCAGGTGGCACAGTGTACCAGCCAGTCACAGTCGTCACTCCTCAGGGCCAGGTGGTAACACAGGCTCTTTCTCCGGGGACAATACGCGTCCAAAACAATCAGGTAGTACATCTTGCTGTCTCTCCTGCATACATTTATCCCACTGATTTCCTATGAGCATAGATATTATTTTCATCCTTTCTGGATGGCAAGCTCTGCGGTCCTGAATGAAGTACACCCACTTGCTGAGGTCATCTGTTATTGCCTCTTTGTGACTGTGATGCTGGTCTATAATTTAAATTGGTGGTTTATGCAGTGACGGCATCAAGGCGTATAAGGGGCCCATGCATGACCCCAAGTCAAGAAATGTTACTGGTTTTTACTGGTGTGCATTTCCAAGGTTTCAGTCTGCATATAAGTTTCTTTTCCAAAGCTTTTAACTGGTTAAAATCCTGATGCTAGTTATGCTTCACATGTACAAAATCCATCCATCCATCCATCCATCCATCCATCCATCCATCCATCCATCCATCCATCCATCCATCCATCCATCCATTCATTCATTATCTATACACCGCTTAATCCTCACTAGGGTCGCAGGGAGGCTGGAGCCTATCCCAGCTGACTTAGGGCGAAAGCAGGGGACACCCTGGACAGGTCGCCAGTCTATCGCAGGGCTACACTTAGAGACAGACAACCAAGCACACTCACATTCACACCTACAGACAATTTAGAATCCCCAATTAACGTCAACATGTTTTTGGACTGTGTGGGAGGAAGCCGGAGAACCCGGAGAGAACCCACGCTGCACGGGGAGAACATGCAACATGTACAAAATGATTGAGTTAAAGTAGCTTTATAAAGTGGCCTGAACATCCCTGCTTAAAATTGTACACAGATACAGACATTTTATAGGTATAAAAGCTTCAATTGCATTTCTTGATTACTCTTTATGTCTGCACATCTTTTGTGATCACATTTTAATCTTGAGATTCATAACTCCCAGTTAGAAAATGCATTTCATGATTTTACATGCTGTGTATTAGATGAGGAAAATAGTTTGTTCTGAAAAAAACTGCTCTGCCACTCAGGCATTTTATATTGAATATTTTAAAACATTTTTAATATCGACAATAAAACACATGACATTTAGGGTATGCGATTACTCAACTGCAGTTGACCTATGAATACGTATTCTCTGCTTCGTCAAATGTTATGTATCTGTTGACATGAGCACGCTTTGGAGTAATGCTGCTATTGCTGTTCAGTTATTCGTGCAAATGATTTGAAGCTTAGAACTGAAATCCATATTCAGACTGTAATTTTAACAAGACAATGTGTTACTGATGAGATAAATAGAGAGAAAGGGGGCTAACTGTACATCTGTGTCTTCAGCTTCAGCTGCAGTTTCACCAGGACTTGAACCTCTTTAATCATGACGACAACTCAACCAAGAACAAACGGGGTGTTCTACCCAAACATGCCACCAATGTCATGCGTTCGTGGCTCTTTCAGCACATTGGGGTGAGTCTGCAGGCATCACATCTTCTCGCTGTGTAACACCCCTTTTTTTTTTTTTTTTTTTTAAAAAAAAAGTACTGATGCATTTCTTTCCTGTTCTCTGCTGTAGCATCCCTATCCAACAGAAGATGAAAAGAAACAGATTGCCACTCAGACAAACCTGACACTTCTGCAGGTCAACAACTGGTGAGTTCCCAGGTGGCCCTCAAAGACACTTGCCCAAACCAATAAACTACAGCAATTTGAGTTTATTTACAGCAATGTTGGTGATGTCATCAATTTTTTACCCATTGTAGAAATATAATTGATCAGACAGCTGACAGATTTCATACCAGCAGGCCCAAAGTGATTGGAGTTTACCTGTGATCAATCCAGTGTACCATTTTGTAGGTTGAAAGAAAGTAAAAGTAAAGCTTTTTTTAGTGCATACCAGTGTAGACATCCCATACACATATTTTCTGTAATTTAACAGAAGCAAGTATGTGGTTCAGATCTCAGTGTCATAGAGAACATCTTTCTGGCTTAGATTAAATCAGATTTAAATGTATTTATTTTTTATCACAAGACACATTCAGGATTTTTAGCTACCTTTTCTTGATCTATTTTACACTGAGAGAAACATGTTTGTTGCTTGATTGGAGGAATTTGGGGTAAAGGTAGTCAGCACAAATTCCAGCCAGTACCATTACAGAAAGAGAAAACCAACCTGCGTCATCTTGTGTCTCCAGGTTTATAAATGCGCGGAGACGGATCTTGCAGCCCATGTTGGATGCCAGCTCCTCAGAGACACCCAAAGCCAAGAAGAAAACGCCTCAAAACCGGCCACTGCAGCGCTTCTGGCCTGACTCCATCGCAGCAGGGGGAGGCACCCAGCAGCAGGTTACCATGCCAGACGGTATGCAGCAGAACACCTCATCTACAATTAGAACTGATTAATTAAAAGTCAACGAGTGGCATAGCAAGGCTGCTATTTCTCTGTGGGCATGTTTTTAGATTTGAGGCAGAAAAAGGAATGAAAACTAATTTCAGGAGAGTCATTCATTTAACGATACCAACAAATCTCCTTCCCTGAGCTACAACTGTGATGGTAGTACATATTTTTATCACTACCTAACAGTTTTTTTAAAAATCCAATTGTGGTCTAAGAAAGTGCCAACATGAGAACCACATTTCACAAAAAAATGCTTTTGTTCTGCACATTGTTGATCCAGGACATCTGTGGGTCTGAAAAAGCATTGAACTCAGATACCTGAACAGGACTCAATTCAGTATGTTTTAGTAGAGCAGAGAAAAAAAAATGCGAACACTGTCATTTATTTTAGAAAAATTAAAACGTTCAACATCTCTTATTGGCCGTGATTTGTACTGGAGCAGTTAAAGTAAGTGTAAAATGAATAAAATACTAATGACAGGTGCATTATTTTCACAGTTGACCTAAAAATACCATTAAAGCCAGCAGTGCAGTTTGAGCTGTAGAAGTCCACAAAGTAACACCACCTTCCTCCGTTTCGTAGGCACACAGCTTTTTTGTTTGAATCAACTTTATTAGAATTGTCACTGGACAAAATCAAGTGGGGCTTCATGGTTACACTTGGTGGCCAGTTGGTTGATCTCCATAGTGTGGGCGGAGAAGTTGCAGATTCTGGCTTCATGAAGTCCAGTAATAAATGTTTAATAAAATTGGCATATTGTCTGCCTAGTTTTAACGGCTAAGCCGAACAATGACTAGGACATTCTGAGTGAAACCTCTGCTCTGGAATGTTCAATTTTTTTTAAAGTTGTTTTTTTGGCCTTTTTGCCTTTATTGGATAAGACAGTTGAAAGAGAGACAGGAAAGTTGGGGAGGAGAATGGGGGAAGGCAATGAGCAGGATTCGAACCCATGGCGGCATCGGAAACTATAGCCCCTGTACATGGGTTGCCAACTCAACCGGGTGAGCTAAAGTGGCAGCCCCCAAATGTTCAGTTTTAGACAGAAATAGGAATAGACTTCTGCTACCGTTTGGATCACAGTAAGTACCGTACTGAGCAGCTGCCATCCCAACTGCACACCCTGTCCTGATGGATTCGGAACTAATACATGTACCATCGCACCCCTGTTTAGAAGACATTTTGTTTATCAAAGTATTGCATATTGTCTCACCTAGCCTGCTTTTTTGTTTAATCATTGAGTTAGTGAATGTTCCAGCCAAGTGACAGACCTGTCGTGTTTAATTCTACAAACAGGTTTGCACAAAGTTAACATGTCTAACCAACCAGTGATTGAACCTATCAATCAAACACAAAAGAGGATCCAAGAGTCGCAGCATGAAGTAGTTCTTGGCTGTTAAAAGCTGCCTGAGCTAATAAAGAGATCAAATCAACAGCCAGCAAGCAATGTTTAGTTGTTGCAGCATTGAGTTATACACTGATCATTTTAAGGTGTGTACATTTTTTTAAATACTTAATTATATATATATATAAAAAAAAACGTCACGACAGAACAGTATTGTTGATTGGAGTTCTTAAATAGTAATTCTCTGTCCTTATTCTCAGGTACAATGGTGACAATGAATGTTGAGGGCCTGCAGAGCCTGACGTCAGACGGCGCCACACTGGCGGTACAGCAGGTGATGCTGGGAGGCCACAGTGAAGATGAGTCAGGGGACAGTGGAGATGAGGACGATGACACAGATATGGCCGGGCTGGGCCTGGACAACAGCGACTCATTGCAGTAGAGGACACACTCTCTTACACATTGATCTACATGTACACACAAGACATGCATAACTAGGTCTACAGAACACAGGTGCAGGAGGTTTACATAGAGCACAAAAGCACAGGACCTGCCGGAAAATGGTCCTACACTCTTCCAGCCCTTAACCCTGCTGAATTGCGTTGTATGCTGTGTGTGTGTGTGTGTGTACATCAGGAGTTTCATTTCAGATTTTTTTTTTTTTTAAGTTGATGTAGGTGAGTGCACTTTTTTTGTATATTTAAGCTCAAAAAGATTTAATCAAACAGAAAAAAGAAGTGTTCAAAACACATGAAGCAAGTTTGTATGCTCTGTTAGTAAATGTTGATTGAATTTTTTTTCTTCTCCTTTTTTTATTTCTTGCCACTGTACCTTGTCCCCAGTTGAATTCTCATTTTGGATGCCAACACTTTAAAGTTGTATCTGTAAGGGTTTGTCTTCACTTTTTGCATGCTTGTGTTTCGAATAAATGTGCACACTCTTACGATTTACTCCACGGCTCTCCAACAGGCTCCCACTGGCCAAACGGAGAACAAGTGGAGAGATTTAAAAAAAAAAAAAAAGAAAAAGAAAAAAAAAAGAAATGCTTATTTTTATATACAGACATATGAAATTAGTGTTTTTTGTTTCATTTTTGTGTTCTCCTGTTTTGTAAGGAATATTTATGTACAGATTCATAATTAAAGCTAGTGACCCTGTTTTCCAGGGTTATATGAAGTTTTCTAAATAACATAAAAAGGAATTGAATGCTAAGGAAAATTGCTATTTAAATTGGTTTTAAACTTACAATACTAACAAGGCCTTATCTGTTCTTTACTAAAGATTTCTTGCCAAGAAGCACATAAAGAAAATCTTACCTTCGGTGAAATTGGTCAAAAAGACACTAAACTGCGGAACACATTTGTGGCTCTGTAAAGCATTGTTAATAATTTTATTTTGTGTACTGCAACACCCCAGTTGTCTATTATCTTACACAGTAACATGACTGCAGTACTTCAGCTTTTTAAAATATACAGTTCCAGTTTTGCTCACATTGTGTATACCATACAATACATCTTTTAATCATTTTACAATAGTTGCATAGGCATCACTTTCTCAAATGCACAATTCAGAACACTATGCTAAATCACATGGTTCTGAGATGGAAACCCCTCGTAGGGCAGTTTCCTTAATGAGATATGAAATCCATCATCAACAAGAGGCAGTGGATGTTTTGCTCGCATTCAACTTTTATTTATGTACATGTATATGCTACTGCATTAAAACCAGAGAGCCGGTGGACAGTTAGACTCCTTGTTCATTGCCTGCCTAAAGGACTGGGAGCATCGCTGCAGCCTGTCGGCTCCCCTGCCACTGCAACCACATATAGTGAAAGATCTGAAATCTCATTAGCAATTTGTTGATATTACTGCACAAATTGCAGTGCCTCTTGTTTAGATAACTGTAATATTGTACTGTATAACAGTTTTCTGTTAATAGTTGCAGTAATCTTTTTTTTCTATCCTTGTTGTAAAGTTCAGACCTGGTTGAGTTAATGTGGCCTGAGGGTGTAGTGTCTCTTGGTGGGCCCTTGTTGAGCTCTTGGTTCTTCACTTGTGTCTGTCTTGCTTTATATGAAGCGTTGTTCACTTTTCTCTTGTCTGTTTTGCCTTAGAGCTTTCTATTTTGGAATAAACGATGCCCAACTCTCTCTCCATGGTCTCTTCCCTCTGCTCCATCAGCTTTGCCTCCAGACAGGATTGTACTTCAGTTTGTCTCTAAAGGTTTTTTGTTTTTGTTTTGCTTTATATATTTATTGTTTGTGTCAAATGCGTAAACACCCCAACAGAATCCATTGAGAAGTAACCTGGTGATTCAGTTGTCTGTGCTCAGCTCAGGTGTATCGTGAGCCTCTTCTTTCTGGAAAAAAAAACAAAGTGGACAGTGCTAACACATATGAACACAGATGCAACTATTTGGGATGACTGAGCCAGGTCTCTACCAGCTAGGTCAGAGTTTGTTTTAAACACATCTGTGGTTCCATCTTTTCAAATATCCATGACTAAGCACTCTTTTCAAGCTACAGTTCTTTTCAATTTCTAGTGGATTTTCCAAAACCTATACATATGTAGGATTTTATGAAAATGTTAATAAAATGATGCAAAAGCAAGCTTTCATACATTTTAAAAGTGAACCATTGCACTTTGGGTTTGGATATGCACAATATGTAAACCACTTCGAATACATTATCTTGATAATCACATCTGGTCTGTGGGTTTTTGCATTTACACTTAATAAAATGTTGTCTTTGTCAATTGTGCCTAGAATTTGATTTAATGTCATTATGCAAATTAATTGAGTATCGCTGGCTGACTTATTACAGTTACAGCATGCAATGCATGCTTGAGTTAGCAGGAGACAAGAGAAGTGACCCTTCAACTTGTGGCAGTTTTTTTTTCAGAATGTGACTGAGATAAAACCACAATGTGAGACCACCTCCAAATGTGATCCTCCTGAGCTGATTGTATTCCTATCCCAGTGTGTGCTTTTAGACTTTGCATTAACCTGTGTAGTATCCCTTTTAGATTTAAGGTTTTCTAGACTATGGACAATTAATCCTGAATAGGGTCATGGGGGGCTGGAGTCTATCCCAGCTGACTCAGGGTGAAGGCAGGT